GGTTTAGTGGCCTGGTGGTGTTGGGTCGATGGTTGGACTCGATGATCTTAGAGGTCTTTTCCAACCTTAAAGATTCTATGGTTGCAGGGAATATGTTGGCAAATACTCCAACTTGGCGATACTACCAAGTATCTCCAACTTGGAGATGCTACCAGCCTTTCTCAGCTGGTGGACTATATCCAGAGGAGATCAAGACGCAGAGTGTGGCAGGATAGCTGCCTGTCTGCAACGCCCACCTCCATCCTCTTCATGTCTTAGTAAATACAAGGACCGGTCCTTGTGGTATCACCAGATGTCGTGTCTCCTCCTGCTGCTAAAGGTACGTATCGAGTAACTGCTGAGCCAGAGCTCAGCCTTAGCCAAAGCTGCCAAACATCTCTTTGAACAGCCTCTTCTGGATGGAAGAAAACATCCCGTCCCTTCCCTTCCAGCTGAGAGCAAAATTGGATCCATTTGCCTATATGGGTTACTTCAATGGCGCTCTCACCCAAATCGGGAGTTCGCAGCTGAAATGACACTGGGAAATGAAATCTGCCCAGGAATGTTCTCTGGCACTGAGGTCTGGGACAGCCCACACTCATACTGTTAGACCCCTTTAACCCCCAAAACAAGGTGGTTGCGCCCAAGCTGCTCGTTGGGATCAGTTCTTGGCTCGTGCCCACTCCCAAACGAGCCTGGGGAGAATGCTAGGGTCTGTTTCAACAACTGAAGAGTGCAGATGATCATGCCCCCATGTCCTGGGACTGTTTAATTTACTAGTGCAGACCCAGCCTATGGATCCGATCAGAAATTTCAGAAGGCAATGGAACATTTCCCACCAACTTTGGCACACCTGACAGCACAAGCAGCGTTACTGAGTGTCTCACCAAGATGGGACATGTCCTCCACCGGAGATTTTCAAGAATAGGTTAGGTAAAATCAACCTAGTGTGGTCTAGATGTATCATCCCCTTCCCCAGAAACGCGATGTGGACCAGATGACCTCGGGAGGTCCTTCCAGCCCTACGTTTCCACAACTATAACGACGGCGTACGAATCCCCCGCCCTCACGTGGCTTGCTCCAGCCCTCCTGCGCAGACATCCCTCCCTAAATTAGCTCCTCTCTATCTCAGAAAAATACACAGCAAGTCTCCAGCACTGACTCATTCATCTCCGTAGCTACTACAAATTCTCATTTGCTCCACATCTTTAGTACCTCCAGGGCTTGAGATGAATGACAATAACATTAGCAACAGGCAATTCATTAATACTAGAGGCAGTCCAAAATTTTCCATTGAAGCCTTTCTTGTTTCCTTTCCGCCGGTAGGGAAGGAAATTGGTGGGGGAAAAAAAAAAATAATTGCTTTGATTAAAAAAAAAAAAAAAAAAAATCACCTCTTTTTGGTGAAGAACTTGAAACCTAGGTTTCACAATATTACTTCTCTGGGGAAAATTCATCGCCTTACTACTCATTTCGACAGTCTGCAAAGGGGGTGAAATTTCCCCTTTCCCTTTTGTATCTTTTTTTCTTCAGGGAAAAAAGGTAACAAAAGGAGAAGAATGCAAGACAAAGAAGAAGGAGGAAAAAAAAAAAAAAACCACCCAGGAAACAACTAATTCTAACATTTTTCCATCGTTTTCAAACAAAAATGGAAAACATCCATTCTTCCTTGCATTTTTGCCAAATGTGCTTCTAATCGTTCCACTTCCACCAGCAAATGCCACTGTCTGCACATTTTGTCACCTATTCTCTCTGGTCCCAGACCCCCAGGGTCAACCCCAGCCCCCCCCCATCCTTCGGTGCAGCAGGGAGAAGAGCTCTGCCCATCCCTTCCAGCAGTTCAGGGGGCAAAATCCCCTCCCAAGCACTCGAATACCGGGGTCACCAGGGCCACCTCTGTGCCCAATACAGATAAAGCCCTCAGTGATGCCACCAGATCCTCCTACGGGACATCAGAGAATTGAACAAAAAAAACCCAAACAAAAGGCTCCATCCAGCAGCAACAGCTTTCCAAGGAGCTGAAAAGCCCCCCAGGCTGGGTCCTGACCCCTATCTACAAGTCAGGTGAGCCACATAAACCTAGTATTCCTACCCGCTGAAGGATGCCCTGGTCCTTACTTGGTCCCTCAGGGTCCACAGGCCACCACGAGAAGAAGGACTGCAGAGAAGAAGGGGGTGAAGGGAGATGCAACCTGCCCCTGCAGCGCTGCTTGGGCAGCACGTGCTTTGGGGAGGGAAACTGAGGCAAGAAACACCTCAGTGCTAGAACCTGTGTCACACCCGGTCACAGCGGTGGCTTCCAGCACACCTCGACCCCAGAAGAACAGCAGCAAACAGGAGAACGATGTCCCGGAGCTGCACTCTGACCCCAACCCCAGGCCCGATGCACTATGTAGGGCCTCAGGCAGGTCACGCGGCACCTCTGCCTCAGTTTCCCCACAGCCAAAGAGGAATAATCGCAGGGCACTAATTGGCAAGCAGATGCCGTCACGCACGACTGGATCACCTTCAAACCTACTTGCTATCGATGGCTTCAAACCAGGTCTTGCCATGGAAGTCACTTAACTTTTGGAAACCATTAGGAATGAGCATGTGCCCCCGCTGTTTCCCTCGGTTTGCCAAGGGACTTTATTTGGGCATAAGTACATAAATAAATCCTATATAAAAATGAATATTTAATAAATACATAAAAATATAAATACTATGAATAATAGAAATAAATAATACAAATAATATAAATAAATCCCAGTTATTCTGCAGGATCTCTGGGCACAGGCAGCCTCTTGCAGACACGCACAGCCCTGCCACTGCTGCGCCGGCCTCGCTGCAGGGA